AAAATTCAAGATGTGGGGGCAGAAAATGTATATATATTTATATAATTTCATATAGTTGATCAATAGTGATCAGAGTGCCATATTTTTCGCAAAAAACACAAATGTGATATTGATTTTATACAACAGTTCAATAAACAAGAAGTTAATATTAACCCAGCTACCACGTAACGGTTATGTAATGTATTCGTACATTTTGGTAATTTCATGACTTACCAAAAGACAATGTAACCACGACGTCATATTCACGTAATTCCATTACCATCCCATTACCAACTCACAACGTCGTCAGTACGTCCTCCTCCTAATGTAACAAGATAACCTTAGTTCATCTCTGAAAAGTATTCGTCAATGAACATTATCAGTGCCATCAGAATGACAAGTCTCATTGTTCACGAGACAGTAAAAATGTTTAGCCACGTTGTCAATATAACACTGTACTCTGTCAGTGATGTAAACTATGTAAACTAGTGATGGGAAGTCGTGGCCTAATGGTTAGAGAGTCGGACTCGCAACCCAAAGGTTGCGGGTTTGAGTCTCGTACCGGCAGGGATTGTAGGTGGGGGGAGTGAATGTACAGCGCTCTCATTTAGAGTGTGTTCTTTCACTGCATGATTCAGTGTAATAAAATGCATTTAGAATGCTCCCAAAATTCAAGATATGGGGGCAGAAAATGTATATATATTTATATAATTTCATATAGTTGATCAATAGTGATCAGAGTGCCATATTTTTCGCAAAAAACACAAATGTGATATTGATTTTATACAACAGTTCAATAAACAAGAAGTTAATATTAACCCAGCTACCACGTAACGGTTATGTAATGTATTCGTACATTTTGGTAATTTCATGACTTACCAAAAGACAATGTAACCACGACGTCATATTCACGTAATTCCATTACCATCCCATTACCAACTCACAACGTCGTCAGTACGTCCTCCTCCTAATGTAACAAGATAACCTTAGTTCATCTCTGAAAAGTATTCGTCAATGAACATTATCAGTGCCATCAGAATGACAAGTCTCATTGTTCACGAGACAGTAAAAATGTTTAGCCACGTTGTCAATATACTCTGTTGATGTAAACTATGAAGATCATTGAAAATGCATAAGACTGGACTTTATCCACATACGAACTATGCCAGCAACAACAAAAAAATCTAGGCAAACATACTACTGTTCTTTTTGTTATTGTAGTTTTAAATTCTGGAGTAACAATAAATAAAATTATGTAATGAAATTTGTAGAACAGTGTAACACCGGCTACTTTACCTGGTCGGTGGACATGGTTTCCAAACGAGGTTTCTCCATTTGCGGTTCTGTCAGCTTAGTCAACAAATTCACGTGTATTGCGCTGCCCACAGGCAAGCTTATACAGCGACAGTGTTTACGACACTGGTAACATACAATTGCGCTTATCAACCACATGAGGGAACCGTAAGCAAAAGTTACATGGTGTTGCTTTAAGTTTGCACTGCAGCTGTTGGATGGAGCAGAACCTCAGAACCTGAACTGTCCTGCATATGGTGAAGTTCCTGGCACTCCTAGACAAAACGGTCTGCCTGGCAGAGATGAAAGGGACCAGAAGGGAGAGCCAGGTGTGTGTGTGTGTGTGTGTGTGTGAGAGTGTGTGTGAGAGAGAGAGAGTAATGAATAAAGTGAGGGAGGCTGAGGTAGTTGAATATTTCCCTCCTACATTATTGCCTAACATTTTGCTCCTACCTTACAGGAGTGAATGTACAGGGACCACCAGGTAAAGCGGGACCACCTGGGCCAGTTGGAGAAAAGGGGGAAAGGGGACCTCCAGGTCCACAAGATATTAAAATTATAAACTGTTAAGCTGCGTTCACACCAAACGCGAATAGGGCGTCAAATTCGCGTCTACCGCGTCTAGTTTGCCGCTTGAACATTTTGAATGCATTCGCGCGTCTAGAGCGAAATAGACGCGCGTAAAAAACAAGCGTTTGAAGCGAAATTGACGCGCGTCCGAGGCGAAATCCGCTTCTTGTGGGAGGGGCAAGTGCTAGGCGGTTGTCTGTTTGCAAGATGGCTGATGTTGATCGAGCATTCATCGAGAGAGTTACCGCTTTGTATTTGCTCTGGAGAGCAGAACAGCGGCGTAGGGGTCAGCGTCGCCGTACTTGGGTCCACCAGACCCTCCGGAGGCGTTCCCAGTTTGGCGAGTTTCATCATTTGCTCCAGGAGCTGCGCCTGGATGACGGCCGATTTCAGCGGTACTTCCGCCTGTCTCGCGCCCAATTTGATGACCTGTTGTCCCGCGTCGGAGCGAGGATCACCCTCCAGGACACCAACTACAGGCGCTCTATCCCAGCTGCGGAGCGCCTGTCCATCTGTCTTCGGTTAGTAAATGTGTATGTATTTTAAATGCAGTATATTATATATATTAAATACAGTATGCTAAAATACGCTATGCTATCAATGTTTCTCAAAGTACGGATACTACTGTTGGTGCTCTTTCTAGTGATACTCAGTAGGTCTTTGTATTTTAAGTCCTGATTTAGTTTTATTTAGACCTGATTTTGTTCCGGAATAATCGTGGTTTAGACCTGGTTGAGTCCTACTTTTGTCCTGGTTTAGACCTGGTTTTTCAGTCACGGTTTAATCCTTGTTAATTTGTGATTTAGGCTTCCTTTAAATTCAATAAAGTGGTACTATTGCAGTGTACTTATAATAATATTATAATAATAATATATTATTATAATAACATTATAATAATATTTATAACAATGTTTTCTAGGTTTCTTGCCACTGGGGACTCATTCAGGACCATAGCGTCCAGCTACAGGGTTGGTGTCTCCACGGTGTGCCAGATCGTCCCCCAGGTAGTGACTGCCATCTGGGACTGCCTTGTGGAGGACTACATGGCTGTGCCCACCACTGATGACTGGAGGTCCATCGCAGAGGGATTCCAGGAGCGGTGGAACTTCCCTCTGTGCTGTGGAGCGGTGGATGGGAAGCATGTGGTGATGAAGGCACCCCCCAACTCAGGATCCCAGTTCCACAATTACAAGGGAACCTTCTCCATCGTTCTCCTTGCAGTTGTGGATGCGAAGTATCGCTTCCGGGTGATCGATGTTGGGGGGTACGGCAGGACCAGTGACGGTGGGATTCTGGCGAACTCCGCCTTTGGACAGGCTCTCCGGGCTGGCACACTTCATCTGCCTCCTGACCAGCCTCTACCTGGTGCTGAAGAAAGAGGACCCCAGCCCCATGTCTTCGTCGCTGATGAGGCGTTCCCGCTGCGGAGGAACCTCATGCGGCCCTTCCCTGGACGCACCCTTCCTCCAGAGAGGCGTGTCTTCAATTACCGTCTCTCCAGAGCCCGGCTGGTGGTGGAGAACGCCTTTGGCATCCTCTCCTCACAGTGGAGGATGTACCGGCGGCTCATCGAGGTCCACCCTGAAGTTGCGGAGAAGTGTGTGAAGGCGACATGTGTTCTCCACAACTTCATGAGGTGTTCGGAGGGGAGAGAGGCACCTGCTGTGAGGGGCGCGGGACAAGCTGGAGAGGAGCCGCTGCCAGGTCTGGGTCGGGTTGCAGCAAACTACTCCTCCAGAGAGGCAGTCCGGGTGAGGGATGTCTTCATGGCACACTTCTCGGCAGAGGGAGCAGTAGCATGGCAGCCGACAGAGTAGTGTTTGAAGTCCTTATATATATATATATATATATATAGCCGCGAGACCTCCAGACGCGCGTAAACGCGTCTTTACATTGACTTAACATTGAAATCATTCGCGCCAGACGCTCTATTCGCGTTTGGTGTGAACGCAGCATTATGGTTTAAAAATCCAAAGTGGAAATTTAAGAGACTAAAATTGTGCATGAACAAGTTTGGATGTGTATTATACAAGAAAACAGGAACTACTACTGAATCCAGTATTCAAATTTGGTGTCCAGTGACCCACTTCTAGAGATACAGAAATTTTACATATTTGCCCAATATATTTTTTTAATCTAGGATGGATGTTACGAATAAGTTTAAACTAAATGAAGAAAATACTCGTAATAAATAACAGGGATCCGATCGAAAATGATCCCTCGAGTCCCTGCTGTCACTCCCATGAGAGCAGGGAGGTGCGTGTTTATAGTCTGGGATGCTTAAATACCACAGCAACCACTCAAGTCAGATAGCTCCTCATTAATAGCACTAATCGTGAACAATTACAGCTATACAGAGAGACGAGAGAAAGGGGGACATGCAGAGGAAAAACTACACGCAGAAATATATTCTTACCAACCCCAAACTTTTGAATGATAGTGTAAATATAATGAGATCATTTGTAATCTAATTTATAATATGTTTTAGTTCCTAAAGTGGCTTTCTCAGCCTCTCTGTTGACCTCTTTCAGACCACAAAGCATTGGACCATTTCGTAATGGTTTACACACTCTGATTTACAGATATGTCTTCCTCAATACTGGAAAGGCCTATGATCCAAACACAGGTGAATTAATTCATATAGTGTGAATGTATCTGTGGAATTTTCTGTAACGCTCTCATTTGAATGTATCTAATTAACCACTGTCTGTTACAGTAATCTTTACAGCACCTGTGAGGGGAGCGTATGCTTTCAGGGTCTTCTCCAAGGCTTTTGGGAGTCTAGAGAGAGCTGTTACCGCAGGCCTATTTAAAAATGGCCAGCATATCATTTCTACACATGGACACCAAAGCAAGTGGTTTTATCAGCTCTTCAAATGGAGTATATCTGGTGCTAGAAGGAGGGGATAAAGTTTAGGTGAATCTCTATCCTGGACAATGGATTTTTGACAATGGAGAACACCATCACAGCACATTCAGTGGACATCTTTTCCTCATGTGAACTTGCTGACCGTTTATTCACCAAAAAAGCTTTTCATACATAAAGGATGTACAATCCTTTAAAAAAATCAATTTACTTAATGCATCTGAATATATAATCAAGTGGTTGCCAAATTTATAAAATCAAATCAAATATTCTTCATATCATGGCTTTAAGGCAACAGTATCATTAGTGCAAAATGCTTCATGCATGTAAAATTACATTTAGTCATTTAGCAGATGCTTTTAACCAAAGAAAAATAAAATGAAAATGTGCAGTATGCAACATTACAACCAATGGAAAAAAACAAACGATGAGACATTACGACTGTGACTGTGTCCTTTGACTGATGATTAGAAAATCAACCTTTCCAAGACAGGAAGTACAGCTGGCCCTGCGTATCAGCGCAAACAAATTCCTTGGGGTCACATGGGTTCACCTCCAGCACCTTGACAGGGCCTCCACACACAAACATGCCCACCTGTGAAATATAGAAAATGAGTGAGAAACACAAAAGAATTGGAATAAACCCTGGTATAAATACAGTGCATAAAAGCAAGAATAAAAATACCTGTTTCTTAGTGCGTCTGTCCCACAGTTTGACGGTTCTGTCATAAGACGCTGAGATGATGAGGCTCTCGGTAAGCCGCAGTACACTCACTTTGTCTATGTGTGCCTACAGACCAGTCAGACACACAATTTATCAGCAATGCATGACTGCATGATTGATATATGATAATTATGTCTATGAGCGAATTTAAAAATACTTGCCGGTTTTCTTTGAGTCCAGGTGGACAGATTAGGAGGCTGGTTGAACCACATGTTCCCTTTACAATCACCGCACACAAAAAAGTCTGTAGAAAAAAAACAACATGACTTAAAAACAACCAAATCGCAGTGTGCATCAGTCATGAATAGTTACATAATGACGACTAGAGGTTTGTGGATCATTGTCAAGTTTTTTTTTTGGTAGTGTTAAAGCCACCCTGCAATCAAAATAGACAATTCTCTTTTTTTATGGAATATTGCAGTGTTTTTTTATAAATTACACAGTCCTGCATCTTGAAAAAAAATAAATCTGCTGATTTGCAAAAAAAGGCATAATATTACCTAATTTGATGATGCTGAGCTCAATATAAAAAATCCATCATGTGCAGTTTTTTTTTTTTTTCACAAAATAAGAATTAATTGTTTTTTCAAATTATATATGTATCAGCTTTAATGTAGAGACTCGTGTGTGTGCGAGATGCGGGAGAATAAAATCATTTGCGGGACTCCCGCAAAATAGAAATTATCTAAACATAAAATGTCCATGCACGCAGCAGCCAAGTGCTGTGGTGGTTTGTGAATGTTGATGCTTAGCCTAAATAACAAATATTTTATCGAGAGCATTTATGCTGGGATATTGTGGAGCTTAGGAGATGTTATAGAACCATTTAATGTAAATTTCTTCGATGTACTGAAAAAATCTATATAGATTACTTTTATGTGGGCTTTTGCGGGGCGGGAGCAGGACAAAACATGAATGTCGCGGGACCAGATAAGATATTTCTGCGGGACAGAGACAACTCTTGATGGGCGAGTGCGGGTGCGGGCGGGAAGAGACTCGTGTGTGTGCGGGATGCGGGAGAATAAAATGATTCGTGGGACTCCCGCAAAATAGAAATTATCTAAACATAAAATGTCTAAAACATATAAATTGTTATTTATCTGTTGCACAAAAGTAAAAAAGAACAACTAATATTAACATTAAAATGATTGACATGCGCAAGCTAGGCATAGTTTCTATTTATAACACGTGTTTAAAGGGTTACAATGTAGCCAATCACAGACTCAGCTGTTGATTTCTGGAACGCAATGGCCAATCAGAGGTGATTAAGTTAGAATCTACTCACCGCAGTGCTGAAATTGCGTGCTCACGAATCTCTCATTTTAACACATGAAGTGTAGACATTGTGAAAGATTCATTGTGCATATGTTCGTTGTATTATAACAGAGCTTTATGAGATAGCGATGAACTGAGATGTCAGCTTTTAGTGATAATAAAGGAAGCGCTGCTCGCATTCTGACATGCCAAACCATGCACGCAGCAGCCAAGTGCTGTGGTGGTTTGTGAATGTTGATGCTTAGCCTAAATAACAAATATTTTATCGAGAGCATTTATGCTGGGATATTGTGGAGCTTAGGAGATGTTATAGAACCATTTAATGTAAATTTCTTCGATGTACTGAAAAAATCTATATAGATTACTTTTATGTGGGCTTTTGCGGGCGGGAGCGGGACAAAACATGAATGTCGCGGGCGGGAGCAGGACCAGATAAGATATTTTTCTGCGTGAGCGGGCGGGCGCGGGACAGAATCTTGCGGGAGCTGGACTGAAAAATCCGTCCAGCGCAGGTCTCTACTTTAATGCACTTAAAATAAAGAAGTCAAATGTCAAAAGTTTTCATGACAAAAAGTAGTATTTAAAATGTATCATGGAAGTGGAAAATATGTATTACATTTTATAAATAAATGAGCTTTTTCCCCTACAAAAGCTGTAATTTTTTGTTGTTGTTGTTTGTATGTTGTAAACACCCACACAAACCCTGATCATTACATTAAAACAGGTGTACCGTTCTGCACTGCTGCAGCTGTGATCCAGGTGCTGATCTGTGCCGCTCTCTGGATTGCAGCTTGCCTCTCCCTCTGCTGTTCCTCACTCAGCTTCTTCTGCTGCTGCTGCTCTTCCTCCTTCTCCTGTTGCTGCTGCTGCTGCTCCTCCTCCTGCTGCTGCTCCTCCTCCTGCTGCTTCTCCTCCTCCTGCTGCTTCTCCTCCTCCTGCTGCTTCTCCTCCTCCTGCTGCTTCTCCTCCTGCTGCTTCTCCTCCTCCTCTGTCTCTAAGTCCTCTAGCCTCTTACCCACTGCATCTTCACAAAAGGTTATGAAGTGAGAGCCACTCGGATACAGAGACAACTGAAAGACAAATAATTTCAGATTATTAGTTTTCACTGATAATTTCAATATCACACGATAATGACAGATTTTTAACTTACAATGAGGCCAAGGTACAGTATGCCCTTTTTCTGTCCCAACAGCCAAAAGCTCTTGTTATCATTCGCCATCACTCCGAGAGGACGTACCTTGTTTGCCCAGCTACAATAAAACACACGTACTGTACATTCACTTTTTATTACACAGTGAAGGAATGTTATTATTCACTATGCACTGTGCCACCTTCCTTGGAAAAATACTTAACAGAGGAGCACAGGACAGTTTTTACATGTATAAAAAAATGTGGTGTTTATTTACGCATAATCTTCTTTGATGCGGTCATTAGTAGAGATCATATTAATGACTTTTCCATCCATACATACTCCAAACAGACTGCCACAGTAGAACAAAAAGCTCACAGGAGGCTCTACTTTGAATGAAGACACCTTATCGAGCCTGGAACAAAATAAAATAATAACCTATTATTGGCAGATAATAAAAACCTGTTTAAATTTAAAACACTACAAAAAATCATTTTAAATTTGAGTGAAATGTAAAGTAAATTCAGAACATTATGACAGTATTAAAAATTTGATATTTTGAGATTTGAGATTGAAATTTGTTAAATTATTGAAGATTTTTTAGATTAACTTAAAGTGATCCAAAAAATAAAATATTATTATGAAAAAACAAATAATATTATTATGTGTATTTATTAAATAATAATATATATTTTGGCAACATGTTTGCAGAACTTCAAAATGGAAGTGAAAAGGGTTAAAAGTCATTACCCCACAATGCACTTCTTGGAGTCCCGCTCAAGCTTCCAGATACATACAGAGCAGTCGCTGCAACCCACCGCCAGCTTATCATCCAGCATCCCAGTGACTGTATGTAGGACACCATCACTGACCTTCAAACAACACACACAGAGCCATTCACTGACATTTCCAACTGAAAGAGGGTAAAGAGCGCTCACACTGTATATTTACTAACTGAACAACAAATAATAATGTCAGTTCCCAACCCATGATTACCTTCTTCCAGTAAACCACTGAATTCTGATGCCATATCTCTAATCTGCCTGCATCATAGCCACACACCATGAGTTCATCAGTACCCAGGAAGCACACAGATCTGACACTGCCCTTCTGGCAGCGAGGAGTTTCTGTGGATGAATGTATATATAAAAAAAGGTTTTAAGTTATTAATACCAATCAAATGCTAATTTTGAATGTGCTGCTGTAGTTTCACAAAAAACAAATGTTGCGATTTTTGCATCAATTTAGATTCTGCTTTTTTGACCATTTTGTCTTACCCATTGCTGTGGTGACGTTCCATGACCTGAGGGAACGATCAGCTGAGACAGTGAGAAACTCCGGCAGTCTGGCATCTTTGCTCACTAGAGCTTGGATTTCTGCACTGTGACCATGCAGAGTATTATGATGCTGTACCTATGAAAACAACATTTTTGAGAATAAATTAGGAATTACTGAGAATTATTTTCATTTTACGGCCAATAACAACAAATGGCAGATATTAAAATTCTATTCTATATTGTCTAAACAAACTAAAAATAAAACACCTTTAAATTTTAGAAGTGAACTTAGGCATCACAACATTATAATGTACAGTATGAAAATTGATATTCCTGTTAAAATTTGTTATTAAATTAGTGTTTTTTTAAAGATTAACTTTAAGTGAGCATTTAATGACTGCAAAGATCATCTGGATGTACATAAAAATATGGGAATTATTTAAATGATTAAATATCGAATATCTATGTAAGCCTTTCTATGGAAGGTAATTAATTAATTATGACTTTATCTCACAATTCAGACTTTTTCCCAATTTTAAGAAAAATATGTCAAAATTGCAAAATGTTAAGATCAGACTTTTGACTGAAGAAAAAAAAGAAAAAAATCCAAATTATCAGATAAAGTCGCAATTACCTAAAACAAGCTTCCATAAATAACGACTGATGACCAGTATGGAATCAATATATTATGCATCCCTAGAATTAATCTCTGAGGATTATTTAAAATATCTGATTTTCCCAATTCTTTTTTGTTTTTAAAGTATGTCATTAAACATTAAACTATTAATGCAACACATTTAGTTGGTTACCTTCAGCGGATGCCAGAGTTTAACAGTTCCATCTTCTGATGCTGAAGCTACCAGCAAGTCTTCCGGTTTTACATTT